AGACCTAATTGACGTAAAAGCAAGGCGATAGACGACGATGTCATCTGCAAACGAATCGTGCGTGCGGCATATCGTTTGAGATACATAGTGAGGCTATAAATTTATTAGATAAAAAATCTTAACAACGAATGTTTATGTATATTAAGGGAATAAATGGATATGGGTTAAGGATTTAAAATATCAACAATTTGGTGGTTACATAACAAGTAAAACATTTATGTATGTGAATGTACATAAATGCTACGAGTACAATTTATTTGTATAAGCTATGTACAGTGGTCGAAAAAATTCTAGCCGCACCATATTTTCAAAAATTTTAAAATATTATTTTTTTTTTTTTGTTATTTAAAGAATGAATTATACTTTTAACCATAATTAAAATAAAATTAAATAACAAAAAATTAAAAATATGTTAAAACTTGCCCAAAATGTGGTGCGGCTATAATTTGTTTGACCACTGTATATATGTATGTATGTACATACATAGTATGTATGCATCTCTAGTACACGCACACTGTGCTTGATGTTTTATGGAAATTTTGCAATTTTCAACGGTCTCTATTTACTGCAATTGTAATTTAACAATAAAACAATCTCGCTTAACATATCATAAATGCATTTTAATATTTTAACAAATTATAAAGAAGTTTAAAATTGTTTTGCATACGTACCAAACCAAATTCATACAGATTTTGAGTACAACTACCACTACTAAAATACACGTACAATTACAGTTACAATTACAAATTACACTACACAATAATTGCTTAATGCAACACTGCTACGCTAATGATTATACGGTAGTAAATTATGTAGTAGACTTTTTACAATTCTAAAATCGTACCGTTAAAAATTAATTTAATTTACATCAGTGGTTTTGGATTACAATTTTTGTGCTTATGAATATGTGTGCATTGTATACGTTGCTAGCAACCCAAGCGGTGTAGAGCTGGAAGACTAGCAAAGATTTCGATTACAAAGTTTGCATTTCAAGAACCACTGTCCAGTTATATAATACCCTTTATGCCTTCGCAAATTTTTGTATAATGCATAAATATAGCCGGTCACTGCAATTACGTACATACATATGTATGTACTTAAAACGTATGTGTGTGTGTGTGTGTACTGCATTTCAGTTTTGTGTATGAATGTCTGTCTGATTGGTTTTATTTCCGTCTTGTTTGTTTCATTTTGTTTTTGTTTTTTTCTTATTATTTTCTTTAATGTTTAATGTTATGTAAAAAGCGTAACTAAAAGCATATTTTCCCCCTTCACTGAATGCAAACTGTGCATAAGTCTATAAAAAGCGCGCCCAAGCATGTGTAAGTGCACCATATTCCTTGCGACTGACCACTACCAAGACATTTGTATTATAGACTTTTGCACCTCTACTCTGTTCCTACTAAACAAATACAGAAATACAAAACTAACTCCACTCACAAAATGCATTTCGTACATAAATATGTACATTGTATGTGTGCAAGTTATGCATATGTATGTGTGCAAGTTAAGTAAGTGAAATCACAATCACGTTGACTCTGCAAGACAAAAGAAATCCATTTCAACCCTTTATTGCAGCTCAAAAAAAAGTCGCATGGAAAAATTGCGCAGGAAATATAACATTAAAAAAAGCATTAAATTATATTTTTAAAACATATCCGTTTGTATGTATTTACATACCAGACGTTTTTTTTGTTGTTATTTATAATAATTATTATTTTTTTATATAGCGAGGATAAGTTCCATCTGTAAGCCTAAGTAAATATATATATATTTATATATATATATATATATGTATTAGTATTTTATAAAAATAAAATCTTAACAAACTTATTAGGTAATTTAAGTGGAAAGTTATGCAAACAAGAAGTGTCCGTTTGTTGGTTAGGGAAGAGATGGGTATTAAAAATAACTTCCTGTTCGCTGCCTTTTGCTGCTAAATTGTGTGTGTATAGAAGTACTATATATGTAAGTATGTATATATGCATACATATGTGTGCATTCATACCTAGAGTAGTGCCACACTGTAAACTAGCTTAAAACATTTGCGGTAATAATTTTTTTAGGTCGATACATTTTCACGCCTTCAACATTTAAATTGAAAATTTCATTGAAAACATGTATTCAAATATATAAAAACCCTGCAAACCAAAGTTCCCGAAATCTTAACGAAATCTTTAGGAGTATCTCATTTCTGAAACGATTTTTTACGAATCTTCAAAGAAAATTATATGAAGGGGTTGACACGAACTGGTAAAGAAATTTCTGTACGAAAAATAAATAAAATTCTGAAAAAATTCTGCAAGAAATTCTTCACTTAGCAGCATTATTTTCATTGCTTCACCGATTTTCTTCCGAAATTTCGTAAAAGCATCGAAGTGTGCACAGTTTATTTCATTTTAAAAAAATTCGGCCAAAATCGGATGAGATCTTTACGAATTCTTTAAAAATTCTCTACAATTCAGAATACTCTGAAAAAATGGTTTGCAAGGAATTTTAGCTGTTTAGTTGTCTGAAAGTGAAAAAAAAATTATCAAGAATGTCTAGAAAATTTTGAAAAGCAGATAGCGAAACTACGAATTAAAAATATATGTATATTTACACACATACATACATAGTATATGCACATATCGTACCTTTACTGCAAGAGCGTCAAAATAAATAATATTTGTAAATATTTTGAGTTAAGTATGCGAAAATTGTCGATGTGTGTATATATGTATGTATGTACGTATGCACAAACATACATATACATGTATTTTGCAATTTAAATAATTTTTTGATTTAAATATTTTTTTTTAATTTTAATTTCTTAATTGAAATGTTTTTTTTTTTAATGTTTAATTTTAATTTTTCCCCGCCCCCCCAATATTTTTTATTTCCCAATATGTTTCTTTAATTTCCCAATATGTATTTTAATATTTGTTCTTATTTATTTTTTGTTTTGTTTTATTGCATTCAAGTTTTTTAATTTGGACTTTTTTTAATTTTCAAAACTATTATTTTTTAAGTATATTTTTTATTTTACTATTTTCATTTATATTTTATTTCTTTTATTATTTTTTTAATTTAATTTCTTTTATTTTTTCTTTTTTTTAGTACACGTATTTAATTCATTTTAGCATAATTAATATTAGATTTATTTAGTAACATTTTTTTTATTTTATTATAATTTATGCTTGTTATTTCAGCCAGTCCACTTTTTTTGTTTAATTACATACACAGGAGAGAAAAAAACCATTTTCTTCAAGTATTTCGCAAATCTTTGAATACTCCATACGAGTAAGAAGGTATCGATCTTTACTAAAAGATTTCGTATTCAGGCAGGTTCTGCAATTCATTTCCGAGTGAATTTGGACTTGGAAAATTTTCCTTTCGTTGCATTTACCCGAGAAAAAATAAAACAAGTACCTCGATCCGTTTCAAAGCTATGACTTTTTAATATCCCTTTCTTTCTATATCAAAATATGAGTTTTCATATAAAGTGGACTTAGCAAATTTTCACTCTAAGCTAGGAATATGTATTTAATTTTATTTAGTATACGTATTTCATTTTATTGTATTTATGTATGTTTTCCTATATTTATATGTATTTTGTTACGATCTATTTTTTTCATTATACATAGGTACATATTTTTTATTTAAGTTTTATATTTTTTTTATATTCTTATTTAATTTTTTATTTATTTTTTCCTGTTTTATTTCTTCATTTAATTTTTTATTACTTAATTTAATTTTTTATTTATTTTTTATTAATTTTATTTTTAATTTTTTTATTATCTTTTTATCTTATTATCTTAATTTTATTCTTTTGTAACTTTATTTGATTATTTTATTTTATTTTACTACATATTTTATTTTATTATTTCATTTTATATAATTTTATTTTATTTTATTTTATTATTTTATTTTATTATTTTATTTTATTT